ACACACATTCAAACCAAGCCCAGTTCATTTTGGTCCCCAATAGCGCTAATGCCACCCTCAGTTCAGACCCTCATTACTGGTGCCTTGACAGTTGGTCTCCCTACTTCCAGTCTTTACCTGATGATATCACATTTCCAGTCACAATTTGGATGGCAACATCTCACTTGACCACAGCCCCATCTCCCATCCTCACTACCAACCGATGACCAAGGCCTCTGATTTTATCTCCTAAATATCACTCGACACTCAAAGCATGCCCTCGTTGAGGCTACCATCACTGCTTATCAGAAGAGAGGATTACCCAGGGTTTGGCTATTTGTCTCCACTCTCATCCCCACTCCCACCCCTGAGGAGAAAGTTCTAACTCCTTTACGCAGCCCATAGGCTGCTCACTAACCTGTCTCTCACCTCCTGCCTCCTTATTCTCTATGATGGGCCTCTATGATGGGCCTTCCCATAGGCTACTCTCCTGTCTAAAACATTCTTACATCTCTCCCTTTGGCTAACTCCTACTTAACTTTCAGGTCTCAGCTTTGATATATACCAAACATCAACAACAACGCTTTCATAAAACTGGACATTCTTCCCCCATGAGCAGGAGATGGGTCTTCCCCAGTCCGGACCTCTCCCTGCTGTGAGAAGCTCAGGTGGTACAACTCAAGGCTTCTTTCTGTCCCCTTAGTCAACCCACTAAGGATGTTTGGATGTTTGCCCCTTGAAATGTCATGTTGAAATGTGATCCCCTTGGAGGTGCGGACTAATGAGAGGTCCTTGGGTTATGGGGGCAGATCCCTCACAAATGTCATAGTGCCATCCTCATCCTAGCAGTGGCAAGTCAGTTTGCACTCTGTTAGTTTCCACTAAAGCAGGGTGTGAAAGAACTTGACACCTCCCAACACTCTCTCACTTCCCCTCTTGCTGGCACCTCCCAATACCTCCTCACTTCCATCTCTGCAAACAGAGATTCCCCTTCACCTTCTGCCACAAGAACGAACAGCCCTAGGTCATCACCAGATGCAGATGCCCAGTTTTGAACTTATCCAGGCATCAGAATCATAAGCCAAATAAACGCTTTTCTTTATAAATTACCTAGCCTCAGGTATTCCTTTATAGCAACACAAAGTAACGTACAATCTGTCCCTGCAGAGACAGTTGATATGACTGGAAAATTTTGACAGAATTATTGAGTATGAACAATCCTCCTTGGTCTTCTTCCTCTTGGGAGCTAGCTGCTTTCAGAGGACAATGTTCCACCGTCCTCCAGAATTAGGTAAGTCTGTCTACTTTGGAAAATCCAGCTGACGGGCCCAGCTGCCTCTCACAAACAACAGTAAAAGTGATACTTTGGCTTCCATCTTCACTCGTTTTTCAGACTGGAAAAAACAGATGCTATTTATTGTTGATCCCCTTCAAAATAAGAACACCCAACCTAACATGCAGCATATCATACCATAATGCCACTGGACTCTAAGCTTCTTGACAGAAGGAATCAGCTCTTCTTCTCACCCTCATATCCCTAGTAAGGTGCCTAGCAAATAGTAAATGCTCAATTTGCTACATAAGAGAAGCCCACCATGCCCTGGACCCCAGCATCCTGACTAATCTCATCTCTACATGCTTCTCTCTGTTCTCATACTTCATCAACTCCACAATTCCAAACCACTTGAATTTTCATAAGTAAGCCACTCCTTCACTTCTTGATACATGCTATTCCTTAGGTCTAGATTGCCTTTGGGACCACAGAAATTCCAACTCCTGGTTTAACGGTAAGATCCTGGGGCCATCTCCTCCATGAAGCCCTTCCTGCCTCCTCTAAGTACACACAGTTTTGGTCATATATGCATTATAATACACGTCTGCATCTTCACAGTCTATTGATGTCTGCTGGTGACTCACTAAACTATCATTTCTCAGATTTTTTTGAACGTGAGCCATAGTGAGAAAGTGAGAAATCTGCTTTATATAGCAACATACACATGTTCATAGCAACACAGTACACATGTTCCTTCGTATAACAGATATTTGTTCCATGTTTACTCTATGCCAAGCACTGTTCTAGATATGAATAGTGAATAAATCAGGTGAAAATCTTTGCCTGCATAGAGCCTATATTCTAGAATTTTACACTGGATAAAGAAATATCTAGGTTTCCAGATTTAAAAAAAAAAAAATAAAGAAAACATATCTAGCTTGTTTTATACTGCTCCAAGACAATATTCATCATGAGAAAACAATGAAACAATGTTGACTGCACTCTAAGGGAAAATGCGACATGCAAGTAAAATCATGACTATCCATCCTTTCAGCAGAACAGATGCCTGGAATGATGTTCCCCAAATGCTAACTCTAGTTATTTTTGGGTGGCCAGTTTGAGGTCATTTGTTACTGTTTTTTTCACTGTGTTGCTGAATTAATATTGGTCAGGAATCATTTTTCTAAAAATAGTTAGATTTCACTCTTCATAAAAACAAAAGGAAAAGAAAAATGGCAGTGTGCATGATAGTAATCAAAGAATGAATCTAAAAAACAAAGAGTTTTTTTTGAAGTTTCACACAAAACAACCTTACTATATGAGATGAATTTAGATACATCCTATTCTATTCCCATTTATTTTTTTTTAAATCTATTTTGTTCCACTAAATTGATTTCAAGGCCTACTTATTGGTTATTATTTATGGATTTAAAAACATATATAAGACTATTAGTGCATTAAAGGTAGGAATGTCTTTCAACCACTAATTGCCAAAAATGTCCAACACTTAGTAGGTAATTAATTAGTGTTTCCTCATAAGCAACTGAATGACTCAATGTTTTCCCCCATAGAACTGTGAGCAACTTGAGAGCAGTTGAGAGCAGGGCTCATATTTTTTTTTAATCTTTAGTCCCAGGGCATAGCACAGGGCCAGACACAAAGCTAGTCCTCAATATCTATTCAATTGAACTGGGGCCTACTAGCCAGCAGCACAATTTAATACAGCACTTCAAAATAGGTTTTATGACAAATGAAACATTTGCCTTGGTTCTTGGTAACAAAAATATTCAAATTAGGGGTTTTAATTATAACAACTTGTATTTGCCCACAAAAACATGATGTTCCCTGGAACAACCTCCCACTTCACAGATGAAAAGACTTTTCTTCTCCAAGGAATTCAAACTTGAGGCTACATGTGCTAGGAAGGGGACAAACCACACTATCAGGTGGGCCTCTCATGCCTCCCAACCCCGATCCTCAAAACTTCCACTTTTTTCTTCAGCAAAGGAATTCCAAAATTGTCACATTACAATTAATTTTTAAATGAGTTCATTTTCTCCCTTTCAAATGGTTTGTCTAATGGTGTCAGAAGAGCTGGGATAAGGTCTGTGTGACCTTATTACTACGATCCTAATGATGTGTGTTAAAAAATAAAATCTCAGGCGGGGTGTGGTGGCTCACGCCTGTAATGCAAGCACTTTGGAGGCCAAGGTGGGTGGATCACCTGAGGTCGGGAGTTCAAGACCAGCCTGACCAACATGGTGAAACCCCAGCTTTAAAAAAATAAATAAAGCCGGGCGCGGTGGCTCACGCCTGTAATCCCAGCACTTTGGGAGGCTGAGGCGGGTGGATCACGAGGTCAAGAGATCGAGACCATCCTGGTCAACATGGTGAAACTCCGTCTCTACTAAAAATACAAAAAATTAGCTGGGCATGGTGGCGTGTGCCTGTAATCCCAGCTACTCAGGAGGCTGAGGCAGGAGAATTGCCTGAACCCAGGAGGTGGAGGTTGCGGTGAGCCGAGATTGCGCCATTGCACTCCAGCCTGGGTAACAAGAGCGAAACTCCGTCTCCAAAAAAAAAATAAAATAAAATAAAATAAAATAAAATCTCTGAAGACATCACAGAGCTGTTGGAGATTTCAAATGAGAAATGTCTCTGAGAAAGAATCAGAATATATAGGCTTCCTTTACACTGACCTATAACCCAGTTTGCACAGGAAGAGGAAAAAAAAAATCAGCAAAACTCTAACCCTGAACAGATCTCACTTTTTAAAAGAAAGATCTCTTACTTGAGGGAACTACCATACTAATTCTTTGTGTTCATATTTGGAACTAATGCTGCTCATATTTTTTAAAAAAGAATACTGTGGCTGCCCATTCTATCAAATCAAAAGAAGTTTTTTCACAATGGACATATTAATTTTTCTAACCTGGCTAAAGAAAATCTGCTTTTTAGTTTACTTATTACAATTTTGTGATTTAGTTGTGGGGAGGGCCTGTCTTGGATAGTATTGCTTCTTTTTTGTTTTGGTTTCTCTTTCTTCTTCCTAGCTCTTTTCACTTGCAGTATTTTATTTCCATTATGGGTGCAATGGGGAGATGGTGACAGAAGTGTGGGCGAGAGAGAAGTGGAACCAGCGTGAGACGTACCTCTCCCGGCTACACATCTGGGAGGGGGAGTCTATAAACAGCCGAGGGTTTGTTTTCGTTTCATTTTTATTGAGAATTTGTTTGTATTAGTGTTTAATTCCATAACTAACACATAGCTGGGCTTTCCTCATCACGAAGGACGTCAAAGGCGACGTCAAAGGCCAGTGCTCGCTCGGCCAAGTCCCTCTCTCACTCCTCAACGGTCGGACGTGCGCTGTATCCGTCCCTACCTCTTTCTGCCTACTTATGCACAAGTTGGAAACTTGCAGAACTGAAAAGTTAGAAAATCACGTGTCTCCCCTATCCCCTACACACACCAGGGCTTCATCTGACAGCCGAATACGACCGGGGCCCCGGTGCTCACTCCCGGCGTTGCCCTTCGCCCCAGGACCTCGTGGTCCTCTCTGCGCCCCCAAACGCCCTGTCCTCGCTCCCTGAGCCCCTGGGACGCCGGGCCCTCTCTTTGTACCCCAAGGCCTCCTGCCCTTTCTCTTGCGCTCTGAGACGTCCTCTCTCCCCGCGCCCTGGGTCGCTCTGTGCTCTCCTAGCGCCCCAGGACGCCCTGTCCTCGCTCCCCGTACCCCCGGCCGCCTTACCCGCCGCGGAGCAAGGCCACAGGGGAGCCAGGACCCCCGAGCAAAGAAAACCCTGGCCAGCAGCGTCATGTTGAGTCTCCGGAACTCGGGCTGGAAGGCGGCGGCAGCGCCGGGGCGTAGGGGGCGGACCAGAAATAACAAAGTCCTCGGGGCTGGGCGCGCTCCCGGGGCCGTCCGGGGCTGGGACGGGGACGCCCGCGATCCTGACCTTCAGGTTCGCGCCGAGGGCGCGGCCTAGCTCGGCCCAGCCAGTGCTCTTTCCAGCTCTCTGGGCCGGAAGTGCTTCACAAGGCAGAGAATGGAGGTTTCTGCGTCCTTGAGCGGGTGGACGAACCCCTGCGCCCTGCAAAGGTTTGCAGATTGCAGCTCCGCGCCCCATACACTGCCCATCAAGGGCGAAAACCTTTTTCAGTGGTATGTGTTTATCCCTTAAGTGCGTGTGGAAGTGAGGGGTCCGGGTGGCGCTAATTTACATATTATCCGAATAATAATATGTTGGCTGTAAAACGCGGCCTCACTTTCTGTAAGACCAAGAGGCTGAAAAACACCAGGGCAGCTTCCGGCGCTTTGACTTTTCGCAGGACACACCGCCCCCTGTCGCCGAGATGCGGCGTGGCTCCGACGGCCCAGCCTTGGCTTTTTTCTCGAAGTTACACACGTTGGAAGCAAACGCAGACTCAGTGCATCCCTCTCCATCCTAGTGTAATATACCTGTTGACACAATGCATTAGTTCAGATCACATTTTTCTTTCCTCACTCGTAAAATGTGAATATTCAGACCTAATTCAGGATTTTGAATAAAAGAATATGGGTGTGACGCCCCAGGCTCAGACTGATGGTGGATGATATTTACCATGTGCCGGGCATTTTCCAAATGCTGAGAAAGAAAGCAGACCTTGATATTCAGAACCTGACCCGGGACTCACACCTAGGGCATGCTAATCTCCTTTTAAACTTTGAAACCATCACACAGAATACCAATTCAGACAAGGTTGCTCTGCGATCATAATAAGGTGAGGCAAAGCAAGTCAACATCATAGTTCTAAGCATCAACGAAACGACTCATGGTGCCACCCACAAAACACCAACACAATGGCTCTCAGCCAAAATGAGTTGCTGTTTCTCTTTCAATTACAACTTAAACCTCATTCTAGTCTCCCCTACCTGTAGACTTAATCTCCCTTACCTATAACTAAGATTTACTAGGATTCTCACAGAATTGCCTGCCTTTCTGACAACATCCATTCTAGAGTGAACTCCAACTTCCTTGGACCATCTCCTAAATCAAAGTCCAAACCCTATAAGAACTTTTTTATGTTTGTCGGCTGCATAAATGTCTTATTTTGAGAAGTGTCTGTTCACATTCTTTGCCCACTTTTTGATGGGGTTGTTTGGTTTTTTATTGCAAATTTGTTTTAGTTCTTTGTAGATTCTGGATATTAGCCCTTTGTCAGATGGGTAGAATAGAATTTTTTTCCTATTCTGTTGGTTGCTGATTCATTCTAATGATAGTTTCTTTGGCTATGCAGAAGCTCTTAAGTTTAATTAAATCCCATTTGCCTATTTTGGCTTTTGTTACCATCGCTTTTGGTGGTTTAGTCACGAAGTCCTTGCCCATGCCAATGTCCTGAATGGTACTGCCTAGGTTTTCTTCTAAGGTTAAAAAAAAGGGATGAGTTCATATTCTTTGCAAGGACACGGATAAAGCTGGAAACCATCATTCTCAGCAAACTGACACAAGAATAGGAAACCAAATACCGCATGTTCTCACTCATAAGTGGGTGTTGAACAACGAGAACACATGGACACAGGGAAGTGAACATCACACACCAGGGCCTGTTGGGTGGTGGGGTGCTGGGGGAGGGAAAGCAAGGGGTGGGAGGATAGGGGAGGGATAGCATTAGGAGAAATACCTAATGTAGATCACAGGGTGATGGATGCAGCAAGCCACCATGGCATGTATATACCTATGTAACACACCTGCATGTTCTGCACATGTACCCCAGAACTTAAAGCATAATAAAAATAAATAAATAAATAAATAAGTTCTTTCTAACACCTTCTTACTGAAACACCCTATAATTTTTCATGGCATGTATCCTTCACTGCAAAAAAATAATAAACCCAACTGGTTCAACTGCAGGTTTGTCCCTGGTGATCTTTGGCTGGTAGGCCTTGACTATGCCCTGATAGCAGTATTAATTCATTGTCTCAATGTTGGGTTTCCTGAAGCAAACTCTGAGGCCAGTATCCAGTACAAGTGACCCATTTGAGAACTTTGGGAAGCACCAGGAGGGAAAAGAAAGTAGACAACCCAGGTAAGTCATCTGACCAGCTGGCACTGTGGGCATCTGTAACTTAATGCCACAGGAGAAACTCTGGGTGGAGGTGGAGAACACACATCTCAGAGAAATCCCATCCATGGGATGAGGAAGCTGGAGTATTTGCACACAAACTCTCACACCAACGGTTGAAGACGAGGACTGTTGATTGCCCAGCACTCTGGCCTGTGAGAGTGGCATCAGGGCTTGCTTCAGAGCAAGACCTCAAGAAAAGAGACACAGACACTGTCGCTGGAGTTAGATGGTGCCCTGAAATAGTAAGTGATTACCACAAACTTAGCTGTGATAAAAGTCTGACTCCGTTTTTTCGATGTTTGATTGCTGATAGCTCTTCCCCTGTTTCTCACATCTGGGCAAGTGGATAAGAAAGCCCAGACGCTCCCTCCTTTGGTGCTGGCTGTCAAGCCCTTTCTCATGTGTGGAAACTCTTTGTCTAGCCCCATCCCCTAACCATAATTTAAAAAAAAACCCAAGACTCTCTTTTTTCTTGCTATATTAGTTTCCTAGGGCAGCCGTGAGAAAGTGTGGCAGGCCAGGCTTCACTAACGCAGGCCTCCATGACAACTGTTTCAGTGCTGACTGAGAGGTTAAGTTAAATACTAGAAGCTAAAAAAACAGCCAATGCCTTTTATACAAAGGCTGGGGTGTAACAAAAGCCCATCGAGGGTTTTGCCTAGGCCTTTCCTGGGCCTTAAAGCATGGCAAAAATAACTAAGGAATTCTTAACAGGACCCATTTAGGATTAAACAAGTTTTACTGAGGGTCTGAAGAAACTCCCCAGGCCTCCACAGATAAGTGTATTGGAGGTCTGAAGGAACTCCCCACACCTCCGTAATTTAGCAGGAGTCAAGATAAGGGTAATCACCCACCACCGAGACCTAAGACTAAGTAAATTTACTGAGGCTACAGAGAAAGGTCTTCCGGACTCAGACCTTAGTTATAGATTAAAAGAAGTTAATCACTTATGTTTTTAGATGAGTGCACACTTACATGTAGACATATAGCTTGGAAGGTATATAAACTCTGAAAAACTTTGTAATTTTGAGTTGTTCTGGCGATAATTTCCAGGCCTTTTCCCTGTAACCAGTTACAGAAATAAAAACTCTCTTCCTCCTCACTTCATCCGCATCTCGTTATTGGCCGTGAGAAATAGCAGCCTGATCCTCAGTTTGGTTCAGGAGCATAAGTGCCACACATTGGGTGGCTTAAATGGAAATTTATTTTTTCAGAATTCTGGAGGCCAGAAGTCGGCAGGGTTAATTTCTTGTGAAGCCACTGTGAGACCATCTTCTCCCTGTGACTTTACATGATCCTCCTGTTCACCTTTCTGTATCCAAATTGCCTCTTCTTGTGAGGACACCCATTGTGTTGGATTAAGGCCCACCCTCAATGACCTCATTTAACTGGAATTACCTCCCTAAAGGCTCTATCTCCAAATATAGTCACATTCTGACGTACTGGGGTTTAAGAGTTCAATGTATATATTTGGCTGGGGGAAGGGGGAAGTAACACAATTCAGCCCAGAACACTTGTTCTCTTAAATAACTTTTAGACCAGTTTAGGAGGCCTGCTCCGTCCTCCCAAAAAACCTTGAGAATATATCAATAATAAACCTTTTCCTATGCTCTTGATGTATTTATGGCACTGTCATTCTTGACTTCCAAACCAAATTTTAAGTAGGCTTCATCTTGTTTCTAAGAAGAAGTTGCAACAGTAGTGGCATGGTTTGGATTTGTGTTCTTACCCAAATCTCATGTCTAATTGTAATCCGCAATGTTGGAATTGGGGCCTGGTGGGAGGTGACTGGATCACAGGAGCAGATTCCTCCCTTTGGTGCTATTCTCCTGAGAGAGTTCTCAGCAGATCCGGTTGTTTGAAAGTGTGTGGCACCTGCCACCCTCTCTCTTCCTCCTGCTCCAGCCATGTAGACAGCCTATTTATTTCCCCTTCGCCTTCTACCATGACTGTAAGTTTCCTGAGGCCTCTCCCGCCATGCTTCCTATATAGCCTGCAAAACCATGACTCAATTAAAACTCCTTTTTTTATAAATTACTCAGTATCAGGTATTTCTTTATAGCGCTGTGAGAATGGAGTAACACAATTAGTAACTTAAAACAATTATTCATTTATTATCTCACAATTCCCAGCAGTCTAGGCACAGCTTAGCCGGAGCCTTGGCTCTGGGTCTCACAAGACTGCAATCAAGTTGTCAGCTAAGCTGTTTTTATTTGGAGGCTCAACTGGAGAAGATGTGATCCCAAGCTCCTCCAGATTGTTTACAGAATGATTTTCCTCATAGCCATATGACTGAGAGCCCCAGGTTTTTGCTGGATGTTGGCTGGAGTTGCCTTCAGCTTCTAGAAGTCACCTCCACCTTCTCCTTGTGGGCTTCCTCAATAGACTGCTTACTACATCAGGCCAGCAAGGATAATTTTGTACCTCAGGGAGGCCCCAGCCCGTCTATTGAGGACAATCACCAGATTAAGTGAAGCCCACTCAAAATAGTCTTAATCTCCTTTAGATTAACTAAAATCAACTGACTTGGGACTGCAAACCAAAAAGTGACCGAGGCGGGTCTCTGTCAATTAGAGATCATTTGGCCAAGGTTGAGGACATGTCCGGGAAAAAAAAAAATGCAACTCACAGGAGCATCTGTGACCTGTGCTTTTTCCAAAGGGGGTTTTAGGAAATTCCGTATTTAAAAGAGAAAGAGTGAACAGGAGAGAAAAAAAAGGAAGGGACGGTAGGCAGTGAGCAGATGGCTCCACTCTTTTGAGGCTCTGATTAGCCTCTGTAAATCTACAGTTTACATAAGACAAAGTAAACATGCAAAAAGAGGGAGTAGAGGAAATGGCGCTACGTCCTGGGACTTTG